CAAGACAACGAAAACATCTCGTCTGCCAATCATTGATATCGCTCCCATGGACATTGGTGCTTCCAATCAGGAATTCGGCGTAGAAGTTGGCCCAGTCTGCTTCTTGTAAAAAGAAAATCTGGACATGACTTTGCTGTTTTTTTTCTAGCAGTCATCTTCAAATATTTTCTTGTTTATAAAAAAAGCCTGAACTCTTATTCGGCTGCAATCGGTCCATGTGCTTAAACCTGAATCCCTGAGGACGGTGCTTGTTGCGATTCTCATCTTGAGAAACGTTCATAAACCAAAATTGAGGACCACTACATGAGCCAGCATCACTATCATGGACACTTAGTGAGAATCCTTTGCGTCAGCTGACAACAAGAAACTAATATATACTTGTAGAACGCCCCGCCCCCGGAGTCCAAAGAAATACTTCCACCTGGTGACTTTTTGTGCCGTTTGTTGACCACTGCAAAAGGACAATGAAAAACAAGCAAATGCTAATGTACCATTCTCTGGTGTTGAATAAATATGACAAACGACAGCCAAGTGTCCTGTTCCTTCTAAGCGAAAGTGAGAAAAAATCACACGGGGAACAGAGTTAGCTCAATGGTACAACGTCATCTTGATATAAAGGCTACCTCAGGACAAAAAAGTGCATGTACAAAGATTTTTTTGGGGGGGGACGGGGACGAGGGCAATTTTTTTATTCAAGTAAAGTAAACGATTAGTAACAGGTATGAAAAGGTGCTACTTCCTCTCTTGGTCCTGTCTGTGGTATGTTTGTATTTGCCAGAAAACACTTGCAGGGCCGTTTTGGTGCTAAATGTCAACAGAATGTCTTGATGTCAATGTGATGCAATTGCTCTTATCAAAGTGTCAGCAGATGAGGAGAATAAAACAGCTGGATAGGTTGGTTACTGTAGATTTGCACTTCATCTGATAAGGGTTAAGTGGATGGACTGATTGCCATGCAGTTCGTCCCATTTCCATTTCCCCTACCTAAGTTTCTAGAGAAGTCTTATTTTTGTCTGTACATGCCGCTCCCCCCCATTACCAGATTTCTACTTTCAAAATGCAATGCACATCTCTTTTCTATTTTTGTTTTCGTTTGTTTGGTTTGTTTTCAGTGTAAGGTTTCTTATAAAAACTGAAATTGAGGTGGCAAAAAAAGAAAAACCACAGAAGAAATAGACCCTCCAATGGTTCCAACAAAGGATCTGTACTTATTTTGTACATGTATAGTATTTCGAGATGTTTTTAATTATTTTGGATGTTGAAATAAAGCATGTTTGTGGTCAACTGGATGCTGGATATGTTATCTTCTTGCCAATGCCTCAATGCCTTTCTCTAAGCGTGAATTAAACAAACGACGAAGCTTTCACTCAGCTACCTTAATTTCTACTTTATTTCCAGCGGGTTGTGCTTGGGATGCATGTGGATAACGGGGAGGGAATATATCTGGAAATATGTTCTTTTTTCATGAAACTTAAAAATAATGATCAAAATCATTAGCAAACCAAATATTAATTCATTTGTACACCTCTCTAGAGTCTTGAAGATCTGCTGTACTTTTGTTTAAATAGTCTAGACTATTTAAACAAA